AAGTTATGCAGGGAAAATAGGTACCGGCACGCACCCAGGGCATACTGTCACAAAAAAAGCACTGTTTCCAGTACCCTGAAATAGCCACACAGTCTAGACATACCCTGAGTGTTTCTGGGCCCAATATCTTTTCATAGAGGAGGGCAACTGCAATCTTTCAATAATACTCCTGGGTTTATTGGTAGGTTTTCCACTACACAAGTACCTTTCCCCTTTTAAAAAAATCCTTCACAAAATAGTAATGAAAAAATATCAAGTTTTCTCAGGGATTCATGTAACATAGGAGAGATTCATTAAATCAATGCTCTTAAATTGGAGAAAATGTACTTGTTTACCAAGAACATCATTATACATTTACAAAACACTCCAGACTTATCTGTGATTGTCTTATATCAATAAACAAGTTTGCTTGTGCGTAGTAGTCCAGATAATACTAATTAATATGATTTAATATCTGCAAAAATGCAGTGTTTAGACAAAATTAGTTCAAAATAAAATATTCTTTTCACAGACTTGTTCCTTTAACAGTTGATCCAGGCTTTGAGACTTCCTGCCACAGGGGTTTGGTTTGGTTTTGTACCGTAGATATTCCCTCAGGGATCTATGGGAAAAGCAGTAAGGAAACATGTAGGTAAAGAGTATCACACTGTATATGCACCATTAGAACCCTACATATAGGAGTCACTGCAGGGCCATCTTCAGGATTTAAGGGGCCTTACACAATACTATTAAACTGGTGTCCATGTGCCTAATGGCAGCAGGAGGGGGATGATTTTTTAGAAATGTAATTTTATAAACTTCAGCAACTCGCTAATTTTGAAACAAGGTCCAGTAGATGTAGACTCATACAGTAAAATCAGAAACTGACAGTATATACCTGGGGTTGGCAAATACCTGTTAAATGGCTTCATTATCATTTGAATGGCTCTTTCACAGATTCAGTGTTCTGCTAATAGGTTTGGTAGGCTTTTTCATTTGTAAGTTAACTAGATTCTCTCCTGAGGAAGTGAAGTCACAGAACAAAGATAGGAAGAGGTGGGAGGGTGGACATTAAGACCCAGTGCTGCCCCAAATTTTCAGATGCCTTATGCAGATATATAAAGATGCATATTCCGCATACAGGTAAGCATGGCTCTCCCAATCATTCATGATCATAATACCCTTAAGTTCTTTTATCCTCACTGTGTAAAATAAGGAACTGAAGCACATGCAACTTTATAAAGGTATTTAGGTGCCTAAAAATGCAGATAGATGCCTTCTGGGGTATTTAAAAATCACAAGATGCTTTTTAAAATCCCACTATGCATATAAATATCTTTAAAATCTGGTCTGAAGTGACTTGCCCAAAGTTACACAGGAAGTCTGCAGCAGAGCATGGAATAGAGCTGGGGATCTTCAAACTCATAGTCCATGGGCCACCTATGGAATGAGCAGTTTCACAATCTATCCCATGAGTGCCTGTGGCCCAGGGTGTGTGTGTCCATTCCTGTCCCCCAAACCTTGCCTCTTCCCACCCCACCCTTTCCCTTCATTACACCAAGCTCTCTTCCTCTGAGGGACATGGCCTCAGCGATTACTGAAGTGCATGTGGGAGGCCCAATTATGGCTGCTGCACTGGGCCAGTCCACCCCCAGTAATCCCTGACACCATGTCCCTTGGGGGAGGGGGTTTGTGAGAAGGGATGCAATGGGGAAAATGTGGCAGGGCTTTGGGGACACACACACACACACACACACACACACACCCCTCAGGCTGCAATTGCTTCTTGGCCAGATTGTCAAACTACTTGGGCTGCAGTCCTGAAGATGACCTGTGGGCCATGAGTTTGAGACCCCTGAAATAAAGCCTGTTTCTTCTGAGTTCAACTCTTGTGCCCAAACTATTGGGCCAACCTTCTTCTAACCCCGTGGTCACCAACCAGTAGATCGCGAGCTACCAGTAAATGCAATTGCTTCTTGGCCAGATTGTCAAACTACTTGGGCTGCAGTCCTGAAGATGACCTGTGGGCCATGAGTTTGAGACCCCTGAAATAAAGCCTGTTTCTTCTGAGTTCAACTCTTGTGCCCAAACTATTGGGCCAACCTTCTTCTAACCCCGTGGTCACCAACCAGTAGATCGCGAGCTACCAGTAAATCTCAGGGGCTCTAAGAGTAGCTCTTGAGCCCTCTCTGAACTGCGCATCTGCGCAGTACGTTTACATTAGATTTCCTCATGTAATGTAGGCGGGGCTTCAAGGAAGGGGCGGGGCAGTAGATCTTCGCCTGTTCTGAGACTTAAAAAGTGATCTTGGGTGTAAAAAGGTTGGAGACCACTGCTCTAACCAAAGACTCTAGGACAGCAATACTAAGAGTGCACCTTGTGAACCACCAGTGGCTCTTTGCAGTACATGATATTAAAAGCACATGATATCCTGGTTGTGTCAGGATAATGGGATGTGTATGGAATTCTTCATAAAATGGAAAGAAAGGGGTCTGGCAGGATGGAGTTATACTGCAGAATGATCACAGGAGGGGAGAGCAAGGAGCCAAAGATGGGGACCAAGACAGCTATAGTCCCATTAGGCTGGCAGGAGGCAGAGGTGGAGAATGGGACAGCTATCTATTATATATTTCAGAGAGTTTATCTGTCTGTTCCCCAGTTGGGGAACATACACCCCTCTCCTGGCAGTGCCTGCTGCAGTGGCCATGGACAGGCGCTTCTCACCTTGTTCCCAAACTGCTGAGGTGAGAGAGGCTGGGGTTGTTCTCTCACCTCAGGGCATTCTGCATACTGAATCCCTCATCCCCAAGCCCATACCAGAACAATGATTTAAATGAAGAAAACACAAACATATTTGAGTTAAGTACCCAAGCAACACTAGATAAATCTTCTAGCATAGTACTATAGTAAATAAAATAATGAATTCACACAACTGTGGCTCTTTTCAATAATGCTGATCATTAATTTAACTCCAGAATCACTGAGGTATGAGATGAGTATCACTGTTCCAGGACACTCTTCCAAGGGCTTTTTCATGCTCTTCTACCTCTGCAAGTTATTCAGCTCTGGCAGTTTTGCAGTGTGGTAATTATGGGGGGGGAAGGATCAGTTATATGGAGCAATGTGGAAAAGATGCTGTATAAATTTTCCAAGGGCAAAACAGCAGTGTGGTTTTGAGCATATAAATTTTCTCAAAACTGTTTCCAAGGGCAAAACAGCAGTGTGGTTTTGAGCCACTAAGGACTGACTTGAGGAGTCTCTAGGCATTAACACAGCTAGCCATGGATCTCCAAACAGACTATTATAAAATTAACAATATAAAAATGTCAAAAGAAAAAAAAACCCAGCTAAGGACCAATCCTGCAACCATTAGTCCTGAAAAAGTCTTAACTTGTGTGAGCAGCCTCACTTAAGTTAATGAGACCATTCACATGACTAAGGGCTTTTTGTATGAGTAATTACTGCAGGATTGCTCCCTGTTAAACAGCAAAAAATCAGGACTTCAGTCTTATTGTCCTACTAGATTGAGTCTAAAGAGAAAATCACAGTTCATAGTACTTCTTTCAGCCAGATGTCTCAGATACTGGACCAGGCCTGTACGCAGGATGTGTAAGAAGGGGGTGTGAAGGGTATGAAATCACTCCCCCCCTCCATGGTTCCTCAAGTAAGCATGCTCCAGCAGGCCAGGGGAAGTCAAGAGTGGTAGGCTGCCCAAGCCTCCCTCCCCCATGCTCTGGGCCGCTGGGGCTGATTTCTCCACTTGCTTGGGGGACTATGGTGCAATCACTCTCTTGCAGTCCACATATACAAAAAAAAGCACCCCGCACAGAAATTCCTGTGTACTGGCCTGTGGACACATACTTCAAATGAGTTTGTTAGAAGAGTTTCCACACCACAAGAAAGATTTGCTGCAGTCACGAGAAAGCACTTAAACTTGCTAGAAAATCTTGTAAATAAAAAAATCCTCAGAAGAATGATGCAAACGTCTCATTTCCCTCCAGAAAAGCCAATTTTCTCATGGCATAGTTTGTGGAGATCTGACAAATTGCCAGAGAGTGCTAGGGATTTTCCATCTCTGCAGTGAGACAGTTACCATCTGCAGCAGATACCAAAGATTCCCCTGCACCGTAAAAAAAGCTGTTGGCTGCCATCTGCTCCCCTCGCTAGCCGTTTACTCAATTCAGCTAGCCCCAGCCCCTTAACAGATGGTACCCAGCCCTGCTGGTGTGCAAGGGACCCTTCTAGTTTTGGGCTGTGTGTGTGGAGGACAAGGAGGCACAGTTGTTCCTACCTGGGGCCATTTCAATGTGACTCCAGGAAGATGGGGAGGGAAATATTAAATTAAATATCCCACTGAAACACGCAGCAAAATCCCTTATTCCTCCTGGGAGAAGAAAATCGAATCCCCCAAGGAAATGAGATTTGGGAGGAGGGCGAAGAGGTGCCAGCGGTGGCACTGGGTCCTCCGACACTGCTGCTCTCCGGCTTCTCCGCTTTCGTCGGGGAGCGGGGCTGGCTAGACAGCGAGGCTGCGCCGAGAAGCCTGAGCGAGTGAGCGCTGCGCAGCCAGGGAGGTCAGGGGCAGCGGTAGCAGCGCCCGCAGGTGGTTATTGTTCGCTGCGATAAGATGGAGGCTGCTTGTCAAGACATGTAAACTCCTCAGGTTGGTTGCCACGGGAGCCCTGGGACTCCGGGCAGGGGCTGTAATGCAACCTCGGCAGCGGGGGCTCCTCTTTAGGGGGTTCGGGGGTGGGGTCTAGAAGCCCCCCCTCCC